CTTGAGAGGTCCATAGTCAAGTTCCCATATGTCCTCGATGGCACCGTAATACGTGCCAGTAGTACCATCGTGTCCCATGGCATCGATACGAACAGCACTGTTCTGGTTCGTGCTCTTCATGTCTTGGGCCCTCGTGTAGAATGTGTACCCATTGATTTCATATCCCTGGAATGTCGCGATCGAGCCAAATGGTCCCCTCGCCAGGAAGGCCAGTTGTTGGTTAATCGTCTTGTTACCCATGAGATGTTGTTGCAGCCACATGGAGAAAGTATCAATGTGATGCCGTGTAATCCAAGCATCGGACTTACCGATGTTTCTGGCGCGAACTAGAGCCAAGTGCTCCTCGATGTAGGGAGCCACCAATGAAGATTGTTGCAGAACCGTGAAATGGGCTTTACGGAATAAATTGTTGTCTACCGTCATTATTGCTTTCCTTCCGAGAGTCCCCTTTCCTCGTAGTCTCCCTTCATGGCGTGATTCAGGTACCCCGATTGGGCGAAGGTCTTCGATAAATTCTACGCAGAATTCAATGACCTCCTCTGTTCCATACCCCTTGGCGATGCTTGCCTCTGGACGAGCACGGTTACGAACATACTTCTTCAGAACGCCCATGTACCTCTCGAAAGGAAACATGTTGTGTAGGTACACATGACCGAGAATACCGATCTCTTTGACAAGGTGACAAAGCAGATGCGTCATTATATTGAAAAATGAAGGTGGAAATATCAACTCAAAGCTGATAAGACATTGCACCACATCATTCTGCAGGGCTTCTAATCTATAAGGATCGATGACCTTCTGCGAAATTGCGTTCATGAAAGCATATAGCTTTGTTATTGTTGCCCGGACATTGTCTGGGAGGATACCCCTTATTACAACTGGTAGCAGCTGTGTCATCAACACGTGACAGTCATGAGACTTTAGATTTGTGAACTTCTTCTCCTTCGTGCTTATTATTCGCTTTATATTCGTGGAGTATCCAAACGGTACCTTGATGCTCTCCAAGCATTCAAACATATTTTCCTTCTCTGCCTTGCTAAGAGTGTAGCTGGCTGGACTCAAGTAATGGCTTCCTTTCTCCTTTGGTTCCGGGTGAAGGTCACCGCGTTGTTCCATATGCTTTAGATCATTACGTGCTTCCAGTGTATCTTTCGACTTTCCATATACACCTAGGAAGCCAAGAAGGTTTATGCAAAGGTTCTTAGTGAGGTGCATCACGTCGATTGCGTGGCGGACATCCAAGAATTCCCAATAGGGTAACTTCCAAAATATAGAGTTCTTTTTCCATATCGCCGCTTGACCATCTTCGCTCTCTATAGGCTGGCTGCCAGGCCCCTTTCCAAACACTACTTTAAGATCTTTAACCATAGCAAACACTGTTTTCCCGCTGTGATGTTTAGGCTTCGTACGATGGTCCGCCTTATGTTTAAAGTGCTTGCCTTTCTTCCGTACCGGGTCGTTTGCTGCAAGGAATCGACGATGTCCCATGTACACAACCTTCCTACAGTGCTTAAGATACGTACTTTCTGTTTCATCCATACAGTGAGTGCAAGCCTTGTACCCCTTGTTGGACTGCCCGGATAGCTTGCTAAGTGCAAGCCAATCGTTGATGGTTACGAACAGCAGCGCTCGTAGGTTAAACTCCTCCTGTTTGTCCTCGTCCCACACGGGGACACCTTCCTTCTTCCACAACAGTTTAAGATCTTCGACCAGTGGTCTTAGGTACACATCGATGTCGTTACCAGGTTGCTTGGGGCCTTGAATTATAATCGGCATCATTATATATTTCCTCTTCATGCATAGCCAAGGGGGGAGGTTGTAGATACACATCGTAACGGGCCAAGTGCTATGGCCGCTGCTCATCTCTCCAAAAGGATTCATGTCATCCGTACTTAAACCAAACCGTATGTTTTGTGCGTCCTTTTCAAAGTCTTTAAATTTTCTGTCGATGTTTCGCCACTGCGAACCATCGGCGGGGTGTCTCAGCATCCCGTCCTGTTGACGCTCTTCAGCGTGCCATCGCATCATTCTAGCATTCTTCTTGTTCCTGAACAAACGCCTTAGCCGTGGTATTATAGGGAAATACCACATCACCTTAGCAGGAATTCTCTTCTTCGTTAGCTGCCCATCAACTTCTCCTGGATCATCTTGTCTAATCTTGTATCGTAGTGCTTTGCAAACAGGGCATGCTTCTAGGTTCTCGTACTCCTCACCGCGATATAGGATACAATCATTCGGACATGCGTGAATCTTCTGAACTTCCAGTCCTAGAGGGCAGACTATCTTCTTAGCCTCGTACGTTGTCTCGGGCAATTTGTTTCCCTCCGGAAGAATGTTCTTGACGAGTTTCAATAAATCGCCAAATGCCTTGTCACTAACACCATTTTTTGCCTTCCATTGCAAGAACTCCAGAGTGATATCCAACTTTTTGTGCCCCTGCTCGCAACCTGGGTACAACGACGTTTTGTGGTCCTCTAACATCTTCTCCAATTTATGGGCCCCCTTTTCACTTTCGCAATCCTCCTTGCATCCTGCAACATTTGACCAAAATCATCCGCAACGTCGTTACCATCAGCATCCCTTTCCTCCTCGCCCGTTTGATTTCCTTCAAATCTAGCGTACTGAGCAAAGTCCGGAATATTGTCGTCTTCCACTTCATCTTCTTCCATTTCAACACCTTGCTCTCCGTGGGATGTCCAACAATTATAGCTTGGCATGAACCCCGACTCAAACAAGTGGAAATGAATAGTCCTGGATGCAGAATACTCCTTCTGATTCTTACACTTATTGCATGGACAACAAATAAAACCCTTTTGCCTGTTAGCTTCGGCCACTCTCAAAAAATAATGCACGCCATCAATAAACTCTTTGGACCGCCGGTCAGCGTACATCCATTGCCGATCCATCTACATGACATGAAAAAAAATTGTACACAAATAATTATTCGTACAATAATGACAGTCATACAATAATTATAAAATAATTACAAACTCTTTCAACAGTCACACAATAATGACATATCATTATTCATAGAAAAATTATGAAATATTACACCAAATAATTCTTATTTACTATTTATAAAGTTTTAAACTAATATTAATGTGTTGTACTTATTTTAATTTTTCATTTTAGTTTGTTTTCTATTATTCAAGATTAACTTTCACTATATTTTCCTTCTCAACTATTTTATAAAACCTTCTTTAGCAAATAAACTAAATTTCTATATATTCTTTCTTCTCCACACAAATTTTCTCTCTCATCAACTTACAACAAAATTTTGGAGACAAAAAAGTGTGCAAAACATAGCTCCAAATGTAATATGACAAAAAAACATTGGAGGATGAAGTTGCTAACCTTTTAGACACCTCCGATTTGTATATAATCACCAAAATAAATTCACTAGAAATTTTGGCATGACCTTCCCTCTTTTTTGAAGAAATTTTGAAGCTTGCTCGGGCTGGAGGAGAAAGAAGACATATATATATATATATATATATATATATATATATATAGGGGTGGGACTTTAGTCCCGGTTGGTGTTATGAACCGGGGCTAAAGATCGCCGGGATCTTTAGTCCCGTTTGGTAACACCAACCGGGACTAAAGTTACGATCTTTAGTCCCCGGTTGGTATTACCAACTGGGACTAAAGATCCCAGGGGGCCTGTCAAGCCCTGACAGCATTTGAACCGGGACAAAAGATGATCTTTAGTCCCGATTGGTGCCAACCGGGACTAAAGATCAAATATGTCCGTTACCCTTTTTAACCGGGACTAAAGATCATCTTTAGTCCCGGTTTTTGTTGCAACCGGGACTATTGTGGAATTAGGCCGACCGACGAAAGATGGTTTCTCTACCAGTGGACTTAGGCCTTCATCGTTTTGGCTTTTTCCCTAATAAGCCAAAACAGTTTATTAGGGAATAAAAATGAATTTATAGGTACAACTTTTATATATGTGTTCTTGGTGATTTAAAAGCTAATGCTGAAAAAGAAACTACGTTGAAAATATCTCAAAATCAGTCTTAAAATTAAGTTTGAAAAATTAAATTTTGGTTTATTCTTTAGCTGTTTAGGCCATCCGATGGGGGCCTTAAGGCCCCATCGTTTCGCTTTTTTTTCTAATAAGCCAAAACGGCTTATTAGAGAATAAAAATGAATTTGTAAGTAAAACTTTTATACGTGTTCTTGATGACTTAAAAGCCAATGCTGAAAAAGAAACTACGTTGAAAATATCTCAAAATCAATCTTAAAATTAAGTTAGAAAATTTAAATTTTGGTTTATTCTTTGGTTGTTTAGGCCATCCGATGGGGTCTTAAGGCCCCATCGTTTCGCTTTTTTTTTCTAATAAGTCAAAACGGCTTATTAGGGAATAAAATTGAATTTGTAAGTAAAACTTTTATATATGTGTTCTTAATGACTCAAAAGCCAATGCTGAAAAAGAAACTACGTTGAAAATATTTCGAAATCAATCTCAAAATTAAGTTTGAAAATTTAAAATTTGGCTTTTCCTTTAGCTTATTAGCCTAATACTTTCTAATTTGTCTTTTCCTGAATCAGATGGTCACCGTTGTGTTGATTACTTGGCTTACTCAGGTTGCTTTGTGAGATTTACTTTTCACTTGGGTTGATGGGCTGTCTACTTAATTTATTTCAAATTAAGATCGCATTGTTCTGGTAGGGGGAGATAGAATGCAATGTGCTTTGATTGCAATTAATCAAGAGAAATTGGAAGGTAGGTATAGTTAGATGTAAAACAAACTTTTAAAGTCAGTTTTGCAGGTTGTTCACAGATCACTCTCTTTGATGCAGCTATGGAGTGTGCTCCATTTGTTGGACATTTTGCAGAAGTTGATGGAAGAGAAATCTTTCAGCTTCGGCCTGTAGTAGATAGTTTACCTGATGATCTGGGAATCGGTTATAGTTGCCCTGTGTTGTCTTTTCTTTCTTTTCTCCAGGTAAACTACCTCCAGAACAAACAAGAAAAATGAAAAGGAAAATATAACAAGCTTACCATTTGTAAATACTGCTGCAATACTATCTGGATTGACAAAGGTACAATTTGATCGGCAACGACCGACTGTTACATCTACAAGTCATACAGCATGGGTAAACTGCAGGGAGAGAGAGAAGCTATAATGTAGTATAATCAGATTTTAAAAAAAACTTGAACATAATATTAATTCATTAAACGAATGGGAATTTAATCATTGGGACGCAAAGTGGCATTGTCTTCCTCCTCGAGAGATGCACTACTTCTCATGTGAAATCGATCAAAACAAACACAAAACTTGAAGCATCCATCCATGGCCGAGGGTAAAATCTGTCACTCATCCTTCCCGGCTGGTGGCTCGCGGCTCCTCCTCTCGGCGAGCATCGACTTGGTCTTCTCCAGCACGCCGAAGAAGATGGACCCGCCGATGCCAATCCACAGCACCCGCGGCTCGATCCCCTGCCATCACCAGCCACCAAGTTCAATCACAACCCCAGTGCACCCACCACCATCAGCAGGCGAAAGGAAAAATTTTGCTACCTTCAAGAATGCCCCAGGTCCTTCCTCCCTCAGGATTGTCTGGGCGCAGCTTACAATTCCGGAGTACTGGTTCGCTGATCCCTGCGATTGCGGTCCAAAGAAATATATGGGGTCAGCGATACCAACAGGGGTTGAAAGGAATGATGTGTTATTCTGTGGATGGATTTTGATACAAAAGGATCCACCTGAACCATCAACCGCGTCTTCATCACATCGAGTGGTGTTGTTATAGCCCCAGTAATGGCACCTAGCAGAAAGAAATGATGGGTTATAGAAGCAGGTAAACAAAAGAAGGACGGCAACATAAGAACAGAAAAATTGTCCAACAAGGATTAGAAAGTGAGGAAGAAACAGAATTTAGTCCTACCAGCAAAAGCACCAATAAGTGCATTCTCTGGATCATTCAGCTCCCTCTTGGCCTGAACAGACAAGTGAAAAGGTGGTAGTAAATCCATAAATTTCTTGAAATTACAGTTACAGTTCATGGTGGAGTCAGAAAATGTCACAAGGATTATCAATTAATAGTAGTATCTCACTTTGGGCAGCTAATCAAGTTATAGTATTTGATGCAAATAGCACAAAAATGATTGGCAAAGCAGCGTGATGCTGATGCCCACAATTAGTACTTAACAAGATACAAGACTCGTCCATAGACAACATGTATGAAGGTGTGAATCCTCAATCCTACATTTATATTGAGGTCGTCTGAGGCCTAGTAAGGATTGCTAACCAGAAGTAAAATATGGTTCTCATCAAGACAGAGGCTAAGATGGGTACCACAACTTTGTAACCAATTCGAAGTTGCTCATATATACAGAATTGAATGGCATCAAAAGGCAGATCTCGAAGTAAAAATGATCCATATCCCTACAAACAAAAAGAAACAGTATGACAAGGAAGGCAATGAGTTTTTTTCCATTGTAACAACAATTCAATTAAAAAGGCATATTAAACAGATTCAAATAATTATTTTTCCTGAAATATACAGGGATAACAAAAATTAGAGTTGAATCGGCTAAATACAGGTTCCACCATATATGAGGTCAGAAGATACATACAGCGTAAAGACCTCTGAATCCTTCTTTACCAACAATGAGACGAACAGCATCAGGTGCAGACCTGAATTGACCTGTTTGCATTCTTTGTTTGACAACCTGAAAGGAATGCAATCAATTTTCAGTGTAAAACAACATTAAATTCATCAAGAAAAATGTGAAAGAGTTCAGAATAGAAAAACTGACCTCTGTGGGGACGCGAATGAGAGAAGCCGCAATTCCTCCAATAGCCCCGGCAGTCTGTAGCATTCTCATTTAGAAAAGGCAGTGATAGAAAGCAACATGCTCTGAAGATTAAGCATTAAAACGACATCAAACAGCATGGTTGATACTTCAATGCTGTAACTGACGAATTAGAAGTTCTAGAGACTTAACAGATTATACAAAATATTCCCCGCAAAAAAAAACAGATTATACAAAATAAACAGCACGATGTACAGCCTGATCAACATTCTACGTGCAATCAACTAGTGCAAAAACATGTTAAATGCATGTTAACTTACAAAATGGGCAACAGCACTCAAATTTTCAGGAAAAGTCTCCAGTAGTTTTCTTTTTGTCGGTTCGTATATTCCCACAAATACAGCAGAAGCCCTACAAGCAAATAGAGAAGAAACAATATGATGGAAAGAGAATGCAATGATTCCCATGTTATGGAGCCTGAAAAAGTGAAGCTAAGGATTATTACCTGAGAAAGGGTCTAGCCAAAGATAAACAACAGTACTTAATTTAACAATATCAATTTGGAAGGAAAGTAAAAGCAATCATAGCATCAGACCCCAGAATCATATTCAGTATCTTGTCTATGTTAGGTTGTAACATAAATGATGCAAAATGATGAACATATTTACTGATAATAACATGTTATATCACGATGCCAGGAGGAAAAGAAAAGAAACTGAATGCTTTGTATTTTGTACTTACGGGAGAACACCAGCAATATTTCCAGCTAATCCAGAATACAATCCTTTCCATTGAATTTGACTTCCTCCCCGAGCAGCCTATGGAAGATCACAAACTTCAGACAACATGTACAGGTTGCTATTCAAATTTAATAGCAAGCATACCATATTCACACAAGAAACTGGAAGCACAAGATAATATAAATTATAATTGAGACATGCATTTGCTAGAAATATATTAGAATTTGGGGTTGCTTCAGGACCACATCCACATGAAACCCGACATTTATGCATAAACACAGCGAATGCTCTTAGTTGATCCACCCTCCTCACATTTTTCCATTTGAGCACAAGTTCTGAATCAATCCTCTCTGTATAAGCATCTTTTTTAATACCAAAATACTGCAAATACTTCCTTAAATTTTCTCTAGTTACCTGGCATAGGTTAGAGCCTAGAGGACTATAGGGTTCTTACAATCATGCCAAAACATGACATGCCTCACATGATTCATGTAATTACTACTCGCTTGAATCTAAGTCCTTGTTGGACCAATTGAAGAGAAAGATAAGAAAAGGTTGTCATTGCTAGACATTTGCTTAAATTATCTGGTTACTCCAGGTAATTTCAGTATAAATAAGATCCCTTCTTGGGAATGAACTCTGGGGCCTATTTCAATGTAAATTAACTAACAAATTTTTCCACAGTCTATAAATAGCATCGTCACGAGTAAATGCTTTATATATGATGATCAAAAGTGGATACTTGCAATACAGCATGATGCGAAAATTGGATCACCTGAAGCCTGGTTTTTATCGTATCAATCGGGTACAGAGCTGTTTCCACCACCACACCCGCGGTGCCACCAGCTATGACGCCCTCTGCAGAAGACACGGGGAAATAATCGAATTCGCATTGCATCGCGGGACCAATGAAACGGAGTAATTTCACACAAAATTCAGAGAGACAGAGAGAACAAGAACAAGAAGAAAAATGTGGCTATCTATCTAATAACTCTGTGCTCTGTACCATCCATGGGCAGAGGAGGAGGAGGATGAAGCAAACGAGGGGAGGAGTTGACGCACCACACAGAATCTGGAGGAAGTTGAAGGGCTTCTCTTCTTCACCCCCCACCGCCATGCCTCCTTGCTGCAACAACTGCAGCCAAGAAACACCATTGCAACATTCGTCAGGGACGGACAAGCAAGAACCCAAAAAAAAAAAAAACATGGGTGGAGCGGCGACCGCGGGAGAAATCCCGGTGAATCGGTCGGAGAGAATCCCCGTTGGCAAGTTCCCACCTGCGGCTGTGGAGATGGGATGAGCCGCCTCGCCGCGGGAGAAGCTGCGGTGGAGTGGAGTGGATTAGGGGAGGTAGAGGAAGTAGATAATGAGCCCAAATTTGGCTCTCGACTCGGGTCAAGCAAGCTGGTCGAGAACGTGCCTGGGGGCTGGGCCCACCTGTCAGTCAGACCACCGGGCCGAGGAGAGAATAGCTCGCCGTCGCCGTCCCCGAGCCCGCCATCGGCAGCTCGACCGGCAGCCGTCGCCCGTCGGCGTCGGAGCTCCTCGTCGGCGTCGACGTCTCCGAGCCCGATCGACCACGACGCTTCCTTCCCTCCGTCCTTGGATTTTTTTTTATTTTTTCAACTTTATTAATTTTTAATTTTAAAAATAAACGATTCCAAAACTTATTAATATAAAACTTTTGATCACGGCATTCCGTCTTGGCGTGCCAAATCAACGCTAACACATCATACATAGGGAGTGTGACAATTTTATCTTACGAGGTGTGACCAAATAATATTACTACGTCAGTCAGATCGATGTGGCAAAATAATATTATCACATTGACGTGGCCAAAATAATATTGTCACATCGACGTGGCAAAAAATTCATATTTTAATAATAAGTTTTGAATTGATTTATTTTCAAAACTAAAAATTAAAAAGGCTAAAAATAAACAAAAATTAACGTCATTGCTGTCAATTCCGTCCCGGCAACAAGATGACACAAAGAGACATTAATTTTAGAGACAATTTTGTTCTTATCCTTATTTTAATATCTAATATTAATTTTTACCCATATTTTTTTTAAACGAATGTGGCGTTTACTCTTACTTTGGATAGAAGTTAGTGGAGTAAAAGCTAATGCATAAAAAATAAAAAAGAAAAGGGAAATAATGATTTTACATATTATATATTGACCTTTCTAGCCCAAGGTTATTTTACAAATATCAGGAGGCCCTTTCTTCTGCCGCTGCCTCCTTTCCTCAATCCCCATCGCGACCATATAGTTGAGACGGCGGCGGCAGCGGCGGAGACTCGGCCGCGCGCAGGCGGCGTCCGTGGGTCGACCAGGCGGCGGCGAGCAGGAGCCGTCGTTGGCGACCCAACTAGACGGCCGCGACCCGACCAAACCGCGAGCAGGAGGGCAGCATGGCGGCGAGGAGCAGCAGCCGCGCGTCCTCGCCGACCCGACCAAGCCACGGCGACGAGCAGGAGGGCGTGGCGGCGGGGAACGAACAGCAGCCGTCGTTGACGACAGGGCTAGGTGGCCGTGACCTGACCAGGTCGTGGCGGCAAGGAGGTGCAGGGTCGGTTCGGCTCGGCTGCAAGCAGGTGGCTAAGGGAGGAGCAGCAGGCTGTGGGTTGGTTTTGGTGTCGACGCTGCTTGAGCATATCTTGCAAATGGAGGAGATTTTCATGGTTGATAATACTGAGATGAATATGCGGCAGAAATGTTGTCAAAGTTGTCCAAATTCTATCAAAATGCTATTGAAATGTTGTCTAAATTATACGAATCGGATCATGTCACAATGTTGTTGATATTTTGTCCAATTTGTTATATTAGTCAAAATTTATTAAAAATCATTCTATTTTTGAAATAAAGTTTTCCAAGAATGAGGATAAAAACACAATTAATGACTTATAGGGGAAAATGTGCAACATCTTACTAAGTAAGAGTATAAGGCCTTGTTTAGTTTCCAAAACAAAAACTTTTCACCTATCACATCGAATATTTGGATACATGCATAGAGTATTAAACAAAAAAACAATTACACAGTTTACTTGTAAAATTAAATAAAAAAACAATTACACAGTTTGCTTGTAAATTGCAAGACGAATCTTTTAAGCCTAATTGCGCCATGATTTGACAATGTGGTGTTACTGTAAACATTTGCTAATGACGGCTTAATTGGGCTTAATAAATTCGTCTCGCAGTTTCCAGGCGGAATATGTAATTTGTTTTGTTATTAGACTACATTTAATACTTTAAATGTGTGTCCGTATATCCGATGTGACAACCAAACACAAAAATTTTCACCAACTAAAAAAAGGCCTAAATATCATTTTGCCAATGACTTAACACTGTTAACTTCATCATCCAAAGTAGGGGTAAAATGTGGATTCATTTAAAAAACAGAGGCAAAAATGAAAACCCTAAAAAAATAGGGCAAAATCAATATTGAACATCAAAATAGGGGTAAGAACAAAATTACCCGTTTATTTTATTTTATTTTCTTAAACTCTAAAGTAAATTTCAGGAAATCCTAGCACCCTGTTGACGGTCTTTTAACTATAAAATCCGACCCTTCATAAAAGCAAATAAAAAAATATAAAATGGAATATCAAACTTAGAGGTAGTGTTTATTATTAACCATTTCCACAAGTCTTGGTGAATACATGGATTAGAGGTCTCACATGTCAATCAAAACCACCTATAATTGAGCCTAACCAAGGTACAACACGTCTTATTTTGGAGAATCAAGGATTGAGTGGTATGAAATCAAGAAAAAAAGGGAAGCAAATGACCACACCATCCCTAAGGACATATATCTTAGAAATTTGAGACATAATGGTTAGTGAGAGCATCAATTCTAAATTTGCTAATAGATAAGGTGCCACGTTAGCAAATAGTGAAAGTAGATCATATTTTCTAAAAGGCAATACTAGAATGTGAAAACTAGCATACCTAGACATATCCATGAAATAAAAAGGAAGGAAATATACATATACTTTAAATATGAGACATAATAGTTAATGAGCACATTGATTCTAATTTTAGCTAATGGATTGGGTGCCATAGTAGCAAATATTCAAACTAGATCACATTTTTCAAAAGGCAAATAGTAGAATGTAACTAAAATTGGAAGATAGCCAAACCAGCTTATCTAGATTGCCACAAAAGTATAAATTAATATATTGCCTTGTTATGCAGAAGGTACACATCAATGCAGAAAGAGAAGAATACTATGACATACATGCGCCTCCCTACATATATATCACTGTCTCAAGCACTTCTGACCTACAACAAAGATACAATAGGATACACACAAAGTAGAGAGAAATGTCATCAATATCTTACTTCTTAGTAGCTATGCTCTTATGCAACGGTTTTGGGTTCATCGTGTCTGCTCAAGTGGTAGGTGGTGGTTCTTCCTCAAGAATTCCATCCTTCGTTGGGATAGATGGTGGAAGTAAGTTTTCTCCAAGTGGCTTGGACCAGATCCACCATAGACTTATTACTAACCATGGTGTTGCTCTTGGTCCATGTGACCCCATATATAGGTCTTGCAGGTAATGTGATTGGCGTTGGCAAAAGATTGACTCCTACAGGCCCGAATCCAGTCCACAATGAATTTCAACCTCCACCTCCACCTCCACCTCCAAGTCCTCCTAATGGTGGTAATGTGATTGGCAATGGCAAGAGATTGACTCCTACAGGCCCGGATCCAATCCACAATGAATTTCAACCTCCACCTCCACCTCCACCTCCAAGTCCTCCTAATGGTGGTAAGGTGATTGGTGATGGCAAGAGATTGACTCCTACAGGCCCGGATCCAGTCCACAATAAATTTCAACCTCCACCTCCAAGTCCTCCTAATGGTGGTAACGTGATTGGCGATGGCAAGAGATTGACTCCTACAGGCCCGGATCCAATCCACAATGAATTTCAACCTCCACCTCCCCCTCCACCTCCAAGTCCTCCTAATGGTGCTAATGTGATTGGCGATGGCAAGAGATTGACTCCTATAGGCCCGGATCCAATCCACAATGAATTTCCACCTCCACCTCCAAGTCCTCCTAATGGTGCTAATGTGATTGGCGATGGCAAGAGATTGACTCCTACAGGCCCAGATCCAGTCCACAATGAATTTCAACCTCCACCTCCAAGTCCTCCTAATGGTATGATAGCATAGAGCTTGAGTACTTGACATGACACTATGGAGAAGAGATGTTATTTAAAAATATAGCTGAATGTAAAGCATCCAGCTCATGCTAAAGCAATAAAGTTAAGCTTCATTTTTAGTTTTTCTTTGTTAGAAATGATATTTTTCCTTGTTATAACAATGTCCGTATTTCTAAATTTCAATTCAAAAAATTTCTCATTATGCATATAGATTTGAGCAATAATATGTAATGAATTGTTGAGAACTACTATAGCACAAGTAGCACACTACTCCGCAATACCCCTATGCCCCTCCCACCCCACGCAATAATTCATTTACCACACACCAAATCTCCAAATCCTATATATTTACATCGGTTTCCACATACCCATCGACTGCAACCAACACCACCACCTTTTTTCGGATTTAGGAGGCAACAACGCATACAATGTTCTCTAACATCGCGTCACCGGCACTTAGACCCACTTTTTTTCTGCCCATCCCTGACCACCTACAAGTTGGGAGTCCATGTGTACCACGAGGACTGCAATGTTGTACTGGTAAGAACACGTATGGTGCTCTTCGGATGGTTACATGCACATCCAGGTCTTAAAGGTTAGGACTATTGCGAAGTAGTTGTAACTAATTTAAGGGAAAGAGAAAAAAAATTACATACATATTTTGATTGACTGTGATTTATCTCTACTACTTAAAAGAAACAAAAGTAGTATGTCTGCTCCTCTCCACGAAGTGCACAACCATTGCCCCTCCGAGAAAACCAGAAAATAAAACAAGCGATGGTTAAAAAAAAGAGTAAATTACACTAGCGGTCCTTAAACTTGTAACGAAGTTTCACTTAGGTCCACGGACTTGCAAAGCGCGCATCGAGATCCTTAAACTTGGTTTAATGTATCATCCTGTTCCAAAGTCTGGTTTGACCGTGATCTTGCCTATGTGTCATGCCACGTGGACAATGACATGGCTAATTTTTCTTTTTCCCTTTTTTTCTTCCCATCTTTTCTCTCCTTCCTCACCTCGCGTGGAGAAAAATGCGGCAGAAGGGAGAGGAAGGAGGCAAAGTGGAGAAAAAAAGGGATAAGAAGGGAGAAAAAAAGAAGGAAGAAAGGAGAAAAAAATATAAAAATTCCATCTCATCGTCCATGTAGGTAAGACCACAGTCAAACGAGGCTTTGGACCCGGATGATACATTAAACTAAGTTTAGGGATCTCGATGCGCGTTTTGCAAGTTCATGGACCTAAGTGAAACTTCGTTACAAGTTTAAGGACCGCTAGTGTAATTTACTCTAAAAAAACAATTGGATCTACAACTGACGGAGCGTGGGGCTCCTCACCGGGAGACCGCGCGGGCCCCCCTTTGCCGGTTCGGCCGGGGGCGCTAGGTGAGGTTCTAAGCCCTCGATCTGTGGAATGTTTCGCGAGAGAGCAAATGCGCAAGACACGGGCGATGTAGACAGGTTCGGGCCGCTGAGAAGCGTAATACCCTACTCCTGTGTTCTGGTGGATCTGTGTATGAAGGAGTTACAAAGAGCTGGAGAGCAAGAGAGTTCAAACTCTAGAGACTCTCTTCCTCTTTCTCTCCTCTACGAGCTCAGGTGTTCTCCCCCTTCTCCTCGAGCTCCGCCCTTCTCTAAGTGGGCAAGGTCCTACTTTTATATCTCAAGGGGATCCCATATGCACCATTTCTACCTACTCTTCTTTTGGGTGGGGACTCACCCTATCTTCCCAAAAAAGAAAAAACTGGCTTGCGCCTTCGCCTGGAAGCTAAATCACAGCTTGTCTTTGAGTGAGGCCCAGCGTCATCACTCGCCTGACACCGGGGATCTCCCTGTTACTCCCTCATTAATGGGCGGAGATTTGCCATGGCTGTTGTCCGAATGACCCTCTGATGGGATGGGCCATACCTACCTCCACTCCGCCGGAAGCAGGCGCAACGTGGGAGCACGGTTGTCTGCCGATGACGTGACCGGCGTCAGACCAGTCACAAACCGGTCATTCTTGTCTACCACGCGTCAGTTTAGCATGCCACACGTCAGCCCTTCTTCATAAAATGACTTCCTTGTAATGGTTGCGATGAAGCCTGGTATGAATCTAGCCAGGACTGACGTGCTAACTCCAGGAGTCAGCACGCCGGCTCCGGCTAGGGACGAGTGCCTAGAGGCTCTCATCATTCCGACGGGACGGGGCGAGGCGTGCGAAAGGCCGCCTGTTGCCACCTAACCCGCGATCTGACCGGTCTGTGACCGGTCACACACTGTGACCTGTCACGGACCGAACGAGTGTGCTGCGCTGCATTAAATGCGGCGTGGGGCGCTCGTCCAACCCGCAATAAACGCGGTTAGGTGAGCGCCGCTGTGCTCACCTAACCCACACACGTGGCGCCAAACCCACAGGGGGTTGGGGCGCCCCAGCCCTCGGGGCCGAAACGGGAGCGGCCCGACCCCTCGGGGAGACAGAGGGAGGGGCGGCCACATCACCCTCGGGCCCGACCCCCCCGAGGGGGTCAGGCCACGTGGGTGACCGCGGCTGCCCCAAACCTCTAGTCAAGATACCCCCGGTCCCATGTCACCGACAACAACCCTAACCCATCCTGTGAAAGGACCTTGATATCACCTGGGGGCTGGGGTTGAATTGGTGTTCCTACAAATTATAACAACTTTGAAGCAGATTAATAAGCAATTGCACCTTCCGATTTAAGTCAGAGTTTTCGATATGAAATCAAAGTTTCTGATATCAATCCGAATGTCCGACAACTAAGAGAGTAAAACACTAAATGTGAACTTGCATGTAGCTCAACAAAACAATATGTATATGAATCACAAGGAGACAACCAGGATATATAATCAAGATATATGGTTACCAAGTAGATCAACTAAGAATGTAAATAGATCGGCCAAGAATAAACTAAAGCACAATATGAATAAGGCAAGAACGAGCAAACCATGAGAAGAGACATGCAAATTGTTTAACGAAGTTCGAATCCACCAATCCTACATCTTCGTTGAGGGGCCACAAAGGCTAGGTCTCTTTCAACCCTTTGCCTCACGAGGTTGCACAAATACACTCCTCAATTTCACTCTTGATCATTTTTTTTATTTGTGGAGGCACAGTCGAAGCCTTCACAAACTTCCTGTGGCACACCACAACCTTGGGTGCTCACTGGCGACACCTAGACGTCTAGGAGACCTTGATTTCTCTTTTTTATCTTATATTCAAATATGTTGCTATTTTTAAAACTAGATAGCTGACTAGGGTAAAATACTGATTCTATTTATCGTGGATTCGATGCTCTGATATACTACGGAGCGGAATACTACAGAGGAAGCTACAACAGTATCCACACACTTGTGGTTCTGTTGGCATAAGAGCCGTCAACAACAAGTTTTATAGAAAATGGAGAAGTTACTATGTAATCAGAGTTTTTTTTTTATGCGGGGACTATGCAATCAGAGTTGTCATTTGCAGATCACTAAGAAATGATTTTTTAGACCAAGTTTCTTCACTCGACTTATAAGTACATAACTAATCCAATGGCCATTGGGATGGGATTTACAGTAATATCATTGAAACAGAGAAGGGAAATGTGCTTCCACCCAAACTGTTCAGTAGAGAATCACACGGTGGGGTCATTATTTAATTAAATATACTCTTGATTATCACGCAAATCACACGGTATTGCTAACATATTGCCCACGCCCCTCTCGTGATCTAATTTCCTATCGGAGAAGAGGGAAGCTGACGTGATAACGCAAAATTTTATACGTAGTAATAGTATAAAAAGTGGTACGAAATCATACATCCAGATTTGGCTCAAAATACAGCCATATTTTATACTTTTTTTCATCCTATAATATAAGACATTATACCATTTCTTTCAAAATATTAAGAAAGTATAAAAAGACATATCATATAGTACAAAATATGATAGTTGGGGAACAAAGTAGTACTCTACAAGATTTGATATACGAGGAATATAAACTAGTAGAGGAGTTGATAGACGAAAGAATAAACTGGTACAAGAGTACTTGAAGCTGATATATATTTTTACATATTTGCACTAAATTTCTTAATAATACCAATGACCAAATGTTGTGTTAAAAAGTAGAACGTCGGATATTAATAGTTTCTCTAAAACGACAGATTGAGAAAACGGATGAATAGAAAATACATATGATTTTGAAATAATACAAGTGCAAAACAAAAGATTTACAAAATACAGTAAAAACACAACACAAGAATTGTCGTTTTGATTAGGCTGCATGAAAATTAAAAGAATCGGATGAGAGATATATACTCAAATAATTTTTTTCAAGAGGTTTTGGATTTTTTTAACTTTTATATAAAATCTCTACATGATTGTTTATTTAATATAAATTTCCAAATAAACGATAGGATTAAAGTTCTTCATAGAATTTTCTACGTTTTCGTACGAATGAGGAAAAAAACATGGAGCATTTCAACAAACATCTCACTAGACAATTACCTGATTTTTTTTCCAAACAGTGGAAGTCCTTAAGACAATTCATATTTGGCACGTACTAGCAGTAGTACAAATATCTAATTTTTCCAACTTGTATTTAATGAAGTGTACGTGCAATTAATCCAAAGCTCCAATTATTATTAAGGGACATTTAGCTTTTTTTTTTGCTATTTTTAAAATGTGACAATTAAGAATTTACCACTCTATGACATATAGGCCATCACACATCGGTACAAATTTTTTATCACCACTGGCAAATAATTAATCATTTCTATTATTAAAACCAGTTGAACAACCAGAGTCCGGGAGGAGAGTAGTAGTAGTACTATACCATCTGTCGGCTGTATTCTCAGAGAGAGAGAGAGAGAGAGATCTCGCGGCCGGGCGAGTGTGAGCCACGTCATCGTCGCCGGCGGCGAGGGGGGCTCCCCGCATTGCCTTCTCCGGCCGGCGAGCGAGCGAGCGAGCGATGGCGAGAGGCTCCACCTCCGTGGAGGTCCGCCGCGACGGCGTCGCCGTCATCACCGTCTCCAACCCCCCCGTGAACGCGCTCTCCCTCGACGGTATCATATCCGTACAACCCCTCCTCTCCTCCTTTCCATGCTCGGATTC